GTAGCACTTCAAGAGGAAGGATCCAGACTCAGCCCCCAGGGTTCAGAGCCAGTTTTCTGCTCTCCAGTTGTGTGATCTTTGGCAAAGGACATAACTGTGAGCTGGCCAGTTAAATAGTGCTGACCCTACAAGGGGCCGTGGGGTCTGATTAGGTCTCGTGCAGGAACCCCTCACACAGGATCTGGCAAATGGGAAGTGGCAGGTGAGTTTCCCCGCTCCCCTACCTCCCCTCCTCACGCCCTGCCTCCTGCACACTGACGACCTTGGTGAGTGCTCAGGAAATGCTTCTGAGCCTTGAATAATATGTTCAGCACTGTGAGAGTTAAAGTTGAAAAGAAGAGACACTTTGCCCTCCAAAGCCATGTGTTCGGGGTGAGGAGACACAGCAGGCACCCCTGGATGGCCCAGATCACTTAACTACATGAATAAAGGAATGCAAGTGGCTGTCCAGACCTAAGCACTCTTTTAGTTTCGGGGAGAGAGTCCAGTGTGACCTGTTGTAGACTAGGATAGGAAAGGCTTTGAGGACATTCATTAATAGACCAAACTTTAGAAGGTGCTCCTGAAAAGCCCATTGGGGCGTCTCCTCAGGGAAGGGGTGCAGGTCTGGAGAAATGGCCAGTCCAGTTATCCTCAAATCCTGATTTCCTAATTTCATGCTGGCCACACCCACAGGGGAAAAGAATGGGGGGAAGGGGAGAAAGAGATGACTTTTCTGAGCCTCAGAGAGGGTGAGAAGCCAGATCGGGAGGTTTTGACCTCAGCAGAACAGAGGTTAGGTGAGACGCACATCTCGGGAAGGCTTGTGGATCCACCGCTCACAATAAAGTACTTTGGTCACCAGGTCTTGCCTCCTCAGGTTCAGTTTTATCCTTGCCCTGCCCCTGGCCACCCTTCCTTAATGCACTGAGCTGATACATTGCTTCCACGGTGGAGGGAGGAAACCGAAGCAGGGGGCTGGGTGACCACTTGAGGGAGCAGGACAGAATCCAGTCAGGTGTCCCCCTCCCCACTCTTGGCCTGTGCATCCCAACGTTGCTTGTGCATCTCCCGGGCTTCTGCTACTCAAGTCTCAGCGGGTCTGCAGCACGAGGCAGCCTTGGATGCCTAAGTTGGGGGTGGCGGGCAGTCCAACCAACACAAGACTCCTCCAGGCCAGGCCACTCTGGCGCAAAACACCATGTGACCCCTGCACCCTCCCAGCTCTGGCCGGGCTCCCAGGCCTGGTCTCAGCAGCCACGGGACTTGGTGGCCAGGCCTGGGAAGAGCCCATTGTCTTCGCACACCACCGCTGGCTCTGGGGCTGCTGCCTGGTTTACTTGTTCGTTTTGTGTTTGTTTTGTGTGGGCTGCTCTAAGCCCTGGACTCAGCTGCAGCTGGGCAGCTGGCACCTGCTCAACCTTGCCCAAGCCTATCCTAGACTCCTGCATAGTACTGATGGGAGACTGGGGTGTGTGCACATGAGATGAAAAGCTTCCTGAAAAAGTAGACCTTTCTCCCCGGGGCTGGTTCTGGTTTGCGAGAACTCAGGGCAGGCGTGTGCGCTGCTTCTCGAAGCCCCTGTGGCTTCCATCTTGCAGACGTGTGTAAGGCAGCCATGGTTATCAGACCGAGCACCCATGGAGGACAGGAGGTGTGCTGTGGCTCTGGGCTGAGTGGACTGTGATTGCCCACCCTGGCTGTTGATGTAGCAGCAGCAGCAGCAGCAATAAGAATGAGGTTGGAATAAGGGCAGCTCCTCAGACTTACTGTGTGCACGGGCTTCTGAATGCTGGCGTCTCACCCTGCCCTCCGCTCACTTATTTGCAGCAACTTTGTTTTAATGGGCGAGGAAAGGGAAGCACTGGGAGCTTGAGTGGCTTTCTCTTGCCATTACTTAGCCAGTGGCTAGAGCTTCATTTCAAATCGTTCTGATTCCACCGGATTGCGCACGCGCCCTCTGCCACCTGAATGCTGAGAAGAGCCTTCCTACCCAGAAGGACTATGATTCCCTGACCTACACCCTGTTCCCTCCCGCTCCTGTGAGAAAAAGCGCGGGTAAGCCCAGCTGACGGAGCCCTTGGCTGTGAGGAAGTCTGGTAGCTCATAGATCGTAGGAGTCTGCGCTTGGGGAGGCTGTGGGAGTAGTCCTGTCAGCTCCCTCCTTTTGCACAGGAGGCAGTGAAGCCCTTGGAAGGGCCTCATGTAATGGCCAGGCCAGGAGAACCCAGCCTTGGGCTCCTAGCCCAGGGCTCTTATACTGCCCTCTGTGTGCAGATTGACTTCCGTTCCCCAGGCACCTCCACCACCCACCCGAGATGCCAGTGTGAGATGGGGAGGCGGGGCCAGGCCTTGTGCCATGGGGCAGCAGACTTGCTTACCTGGGGCTTCCTGGGCAGTGTGCTGTCCCAGCTGGCTCCTTATGTCTCCTCTCCGTTGCTGTGCTTGGGAAGTCCGGGGCGCTAGGGGCCTCGATTCTGCTGCCACTCCCTCCCCCTTTCTTCCTTTTGTTTTGATAAATTTTATTAAAGTAAAACCTGCTTACAGAGAAGTACACAAATCCATCCCTTTTTATTTCTTAATTGTTATTTTTCTGGTTATAAAGGCAAAAGTTATAAAATCTGAAAACAAAACTCTTGGATCTCTTGGAACTAACCATCATAAAGATCTGATGTTTCTCTCTTACTAATTGGAGAGTTACTACTAGAAGCTGCTGTTGGGGCAGAGGAGGAGGGTCCCTGAGGGCGTGTTGCTTCTTTGCAGGATGTGTCACTGCTGATCCAGTGTCTGATCTTCACTGTCAACTTAGAAACATGATCACTTCTGCCCCAGCTGCTGATAAGGCAGATCACCAGTGATAACACTGCATACCATTACTTATTGAACAGCCTGCATTGTTCAAAATACAAGTCAGGCCATCAGGACCCATCAGGACGATATCCTAGAGTGCTTGGGGCAGGCGTCCCCAGGGAGGCCATTTGGCTGGGTAAATGCTGTGTGTTGACACACTGAATTGGTGTCTGCCTCCAGCCTCCTTTTCATAGGCTTCTGGGCCTATGAACAAGTGGGCCACTGCATAGAAGGATATGGCCCCATTCTTGGGCTTGTCAGCCTGGTCATTCATGTCTGAGGTTTCATACTGGGATCAGCGTCCACTGGGCGTTGAGCTACTTTACGTGAAGAGCTGGAAAGAGCGCCCAGTGCTGGGACGCCCCTGGAATGGGTCGACACTGACCTTGTCATCTTGTTACCCAGTCAGGGCTGCAAGGGACTTAAGGACAGGCCAGTGTGAGTCTCATCAGAGTCCTCTAGAGGGGCTGTTATGACACAGGCCCCACCCCACAGTTTTTGAGGCCTGGAGTGGCACCCACAACTTTGCATTTGTGACAAGCTCCTAGGTGATGCTGCTGCTGCGTGGCCAGGCCCACATTTGGAGGACCATGCATCTAACTCATTTACTTTCACAAGCGGGGGCCTGCTGTGGTCTGAATGCTTGTGCTCCCCTGAAATATGTGTCAGAAACCTAATGCTGCAGGTGATGTGTTGGGAGGCAGGGCACTTGGGAGGCCATTAAGTCCCAAGACAAAGCCCTGGTGAATGGGATTAAGCCTCTTATAAAAGAGACCCCAGAGGGCTAGCTTGCCTGTTTCACACAGTGAGAAGGGGTCTGTCTGCAACCCAGAAAAAAATGCAGGCACCCTGATCTTGGACTCCCAGCCTCTAGAACTATGAAAAATAAATGCTTGCTGTTCATTAGCCAACTGGTTTAGGGTTTTAGCAGCTTTAACAGGTGAGGGCCTTGAAGGTTGAACAAACTCCTTTCCCAGGGGCCTCCCTGGTGGCGCAGCGGTTGAGTGCTGGGTTGCGAAGCTGCCCGCAGCCTCTGCGGCGCCGGTTCGATCCCCGGCTGCTCCCCGGCCACCAGAGGAGGGTCCCACATGGCGCGCAGACCTCTCCTGCCGCCCGCTGCTCCCCTCAGCAGTGTACTTCGGTCCTTCTGCCTGCTCTGCTCCCCGCTCTGGCTCTAGTGAATTCTCTCACCCTCCTGTGCTTCTGACTGTACCCAGTGCATGTATAAACGAAACAAACGAACAAACAAACAAATAAATAAATAAAACATGCCTCTATAAAAAAAAAAAAAAAAAAACTCCTTTCCCAGCCCTTGATTTTAAACTACTAGGCTCCTCAAATGGCTGGTAATGGCATCTGACTTCATTTCTGTTTTTAATCCATCAGTTAATATCTTTATTCCATTTCCACCCCCCCAATATAAAACAGATGGGGCTCTCCTAGCACCCGAGGTGTGGGGAGTTGGAGGTCAGGTGTGGGTCATCTTATTTGCTGAACATTGCCATTGGCGGTGCTGTTTTGCCCTCGTGGTTTTAATTTGCTTTTCTCCTTAACCATCGATTGCTTAGTGTGTCCTTAATGAACCATCAGTGGAGACAGGAAACATATGGAACTTCATAGTATCAGTGGGAAGCGCAATAATAATAATAAATTCCACCAATTTGCCTAAAGGTGCTGGTTACCAGATTGGAGACACTTGACCAGAGTTTTTATATAGCACTTCAAGATGTTTCCAATCCTCACAAAAAGTGATAATTATATCTAAAGTGGATTTTCATTCCCTGGGAATAAATACTCCACACCTATAACAGAAGTACATGTAAATCAGCCTGAAAGCTTCTCTCTTTTAGAAACAAAATTTAAAACAAAGTACCTAGGATAGAATTTCCAACTTCAGGATGTGAGAACAGCTTTTTACTATTTTTAAACCTTAATATTTGATTAAATTACCATAATGTAATTTGATCCCCAAGTCTGACATGATATATGACATTTAAAAAATGTGTTAACAAGTCATCCTTGTTCTTATCTAATTAATCCGAACTAAATTGGACAGTGTGTGTACTTGCTAATTGGAGGGGGGAGTTGAATTTGTGCATATAATATTACTAAAGATTGTATTAAACTACACTTTATAAAAACTTTAATAGTAAATAGACATAGCATAATTTTAAACTTAAGAGTGTGCAAAAATAACCAGCTTTTACATTTCGTGGAGTGATTACAGGATAGAAGGTGGGAAGCACTGGGGAGAATCATCTCTTGAGTTCTCGTGGCTCTGAGACACTCGGGTGGGGCAGGGCCCAGAAGCCACGGTGAAGACATGTAATAGGTCCACCGAGAGTGGGGGACACAGTGTGCCCCTTTATTGTTGGAAATAGGATTAGGCTGCTCTCTGAGAGTTTAGATTTCAGAACTGCAATCAGAACAGCTCCCGGCCTGGCCCTAGGACTCTGGAACATGGCTCTTCAGTGGCATCAGGATTTTAGTTACGTGCCTTGTGGGAGCGGTAACAAGCTTTGGAAAAGGCACTGGTGTCCTTGGACTTGGCTCAGGACACACCTGAGGTCTACCCGGCCCACAGCCTTTTGTGCTGTCCATGCTGCCTCCATGCCACTGCTTCCGCCTGGCCTGCCGCTTTGTAGGCATGTTAATAACAGGAGAGCCGTGCCCCGGGAAGCCCACCCCCAGGTAGTCCACAACCCTCATTTGGTTCAGGAATGATCTACTGGATGTCATTTTGCACAGATTATCCTCCCTAATTTTCCTTTTGTTGAGACTGAAAAAAAAAAATGTTTTTATGCCTTTATTAAAAGTGGGGCGCTCCAAATGCATTCAGGCTCAGGAAGGCTGTCTTGGACATGGATATTTGCTGCAGATATTTGAGAATTGTTTTTAGTTCCCGTAATCCCATTAGTTTGTATTTTTGTCTGTTAATCCTTTTCAGCTTCTGTCATTTCCTGTGTGAGCTTGTCCCATGGGCCCAGAGGTGCGGCTGGTCTCCTGGAACCCAAGTCTGTGGCCTTTTTTTTTGCATCTCTCTGTACCCATGACTCAGGAAGTGACTCCCATGATTTTGGGGTGCAGTTAAGATGCAACCAGATGAAGCATAGGTTTTGTAACCCCGAGCCAGTCCTTTGTGTTCTGTTCTTGTCAAGGGAAGACATTCGCCTTGTGCGTATGTTGTGAACACAGCTGTTCACGCAGTCCAGACCGCCTGGTAGGCGTCAAACCCTTGCCAGCCCCGCCATGTCTCTCTGACAAGTTGAAAGAAGCCTCCATGCTCCTGGCTTCCCACTTGGTGGGTGAGGAAGGGCTCCCTGTGAGGGTGTGAATGAGTTTCTCAGTTGGGCTTCTCAGAACACACCTTTTCTGCCTGCTGCTCCCCATCAGGGTCAAGTAGGCTCACCCCTGGGTCTCTGCTGGCAGACGCACCTGCCTAAGGGGGGTGTGAGGGGCTGGGGAGGGGTGGGCCACGGAGAACTGATTGTTTTTTTTCTGCTTACCCTGGGGAGCAGGTGGTGAGTGTTGGGGGGGGGGTGTCCATGCAAACTTCCTGTCTCTTGAGCCCGGACACAGGCTAGCTGCACAGCTCCGCAGTTAGAGGCCTGCTGATTGCCCGAGGCTGCCCATCCCCACACCTGCTGCCTTCTCTCAGACCTGTTCATGTTCTCCATAAGAGCTGAACTCCTTGGGGCGATATCTCCTTCCCTCAGACCTGTTCATGTTCTCCATAAGAGCTGAACTCCTTGGGGCGTTATCTCCTTCCCTGTTCATCGTGTTCCTTGGGTAACAGGCTCACGGAGAAGGGACCAGGTAGTAGGGCCTTCACCTAGCCTTTTTAGCTGACTCGGCACAGCCATTGCCTGTCTTGGTGGCAGGGCCAGCTCAGCCCCTGGGAGCTTGGCCCCAGACAGTGCAGCTGACTGGGCTCCTCCCCCTACCCCAGGACCCTGGAAACCCTCTGCCTGACCTAATTACCTGCAGTGAGGCCAGCGCACTCCTCCCAGCAGCTGGTGTTGGAGGAGGGAGGGGATCCCTGACAGGTGGGTGTGGGCCACCCGGGATTAACCCTTTGGTTGCTGCCTCCTTTCACTTTGCCACCTTGAGGGGGTGAGCTCAGGCTGGTCTGCCCTCTCCTAGGTATTCATTCCTCCCTGGGACATGCAGAATGGCAGCCCTAGCCTAGCACAGATCTGCTGCCCAGACAGCTCTGCTTCTCCCTCTCGGCCAGGGTGGGGCATCAGGAGATGGTGTATTCAGCCAGAGCCCTTGTCTTTGCTCCCCTAGAGTCCCCCCACCCCCAAAACTGGCAAGGGCTCTTTGGTCCTTTGGGGAGTCCTTAGCGAGAAGCAATTTGAACTGGCCCCTCCCCAGGCCCCGTGGGCTCACAGCTGCTCTTCCAGACCCACCGCCCTCAGAGACAGGAGCCTGGAGGGTGCTGAGCATGGCAGAGGCTGAGCGTGCGCTTCATGAATGGTGTCTCCATTGTCTTGTGACTTGACAGTGTGCGTGTCTTTTACCTGCAGGGCCTCCTTTGAATGTTCTTACAGCATGCGGTGTCCTCTGTCATCTTAATGCAACAAGCTTTACACGTGCAGGGAAGGATCCAAGAGCACCAGTCTATGCTCAGATGTGTTTGAGTGCAGGGAACCTGTAGACAGAAGTGAGGTTAGGAAGGAGGGGTGCTGCCGTGGACTGGAGTCGTTGGGGAAGGCTTCATGGAGGGCAGGCTTTGAGCTGGGTCGTAGAAGATGAACAATATTTTGAGACATGGAGAAAAAAGGGGAGAAAACTACAGGGATAAGGAGGCATAGGAAGAGGCCACAGTGAGGGGATCTCCCTGCAGGAGGCCAGGAGACTGAGGGGTACCTATTGTGAAGGTCCAACTCAACCTTCCTTTGGACCCGCTCCCCCAACCTCTGCTGCTGGAGAGGGGGGCCCAGCCTGTCCATGCTTCCAGCCCCACCCCTGTGACTCCCTGAATCCCTGCTTGTAGAGATGGTGGCCATCCAGCAGATATTTTGGGATCCTCCCAATGTAACTGGAATTGGACATGAAAAATTTTAAGGAGGGAGAGGCAGAAGGAAAATATCTGTGTTGGGTTCTTTATATATTAGCCTCTTTACCCTTAAAATGCCCCTATGAGGTCGTCATTAACTCAACTCCCTGTTATATGAGTGGAAACTGAGACCCTTGTCATGGCTCAGTTTGGCTCTAATGAGCTAACACTCCTGTGGTGAGGCTTCCTGCTTTTAATAAGAATAAAAGATATGACCTTTGCCCTTAAGAGCTTATAATCCAGTTGGAAGAATTGGCTAAAAATTCTAATAAAATCCCTAGAAGTGCTCGGCAACAAAGTGAGGAAAAGGTGAATCTACAGATGGAAAATGTTAGGAGTGGGGTCTCAAGGGGGCGCCGCTGTCAGCCCTTGTCACAGACAGAGCTTCACAGATGAAGCTGGACTTGGAGGCCAACTGTGAGGGGCAGATGGACCGTCCTGAGGGAGATGGTCATGGGGAGGTGCAGGGGTGTGTGGGTAACTGTCCAACATGCACAGAGGAGGACTGGCATGCTCCTCCATGGACCTAGTGCTTAACTGAAAAAAAAAAATATATATATATATAGCTTATTAAGGTGAAATCCATATGCCATAAAGTTAATCACTATAAAGCGAACGATTTAGGGATAGTTAGTAGATCCACAATATTGTGCGGCACCCACCTCTCTCTTAAATTTTTCCATGACTCCTGAAACCCCCCATACTCCTTGAACAATCACTCTCCATGCCCCCTTCCTGGGCAGCCATCAGTCTGCTTTCCGTCTGTTTGGATTTCTGGGTAGCTTATCTGAAGCCATCCCACAGGACATGGCCTCTCTCGTGTTGGGCTCTCTGTGGGGTAAATGAAGACTGATTAGGCTTTTATGCCTCAGGCCTCTGGCTATCACCTGTGGTCTTGATTGTGCTAATGCGGTGGGCAATTGGGAACGTGGGCGCAGGGTACGTGTGCCTGACTGTGGACACCTGGAGTATGGTGTAGGCATGTGTAAGTGGGCACACCTGATCCTGGAGGCTGTGGTTAGGAGGGCAGCGTCACTCAGAGAATGGCTCCTGTGGAGTAGCTGCAAGGGAAAGAGACCATGGGAGAACACCAGGATGAGCCCAAATATTTAGAAGTAAATATTTGCCAGGGGCCAGGAGGCCTCTGTGCCTTGCCAGCCTGCAGGTTGCCCTACAGCCATTGGTGTTGAAATAGTATTGAAGTATGAAAAGCCACTGAGTGCTCCAGGACTCTCCTTTATCCGTCTGCCCAGATCGATAGAGAACCTGTCCTGTGCTCTCCCACCTGCTTGCTCAGGCCACGCCGGGGCTCGTGTCTGGCCTTCATTCCTTCCTGTGGCTGCATGTGGCCCTGCTGTCATGTGTGCCAAGGTTTGCTGTCCGCCACAGTGCATTGATTGCCTGGGGTTGGATCCATGTTTGGCTTTGGTGATTATTGCTTCTGTGAAAGTGTGTGTCCTCAAGGGTTGTGTGCAGTTCTTTTGGGTGAATACCCAGGTGGAAGTGGGCATATGTTGTCCTTGTTGGAGGAACCACCAACCTGTTTGCCTGGTGGCTGCTCTGTTTACCTTTACATTCCCACCAGCGCTGCTCTAGGCTTTGTTCTCTACGTGCGCACCCCCCGCCCCCCCCCCCGCCCCCGCTCTGGACTCAAAGCAGCAGGTGCTGCCAATTTCTCAGAGTACCCTTTGTCCCACTCACCTGGGCTGGGACCTTGGTGCATACAGGTTCTGCCCTCAGTCAGTCCTGCGTTCTCTCAGGCTGGGGACTGACCCCTGAGCCTGACTCTACTGTGGCATCCAGAGTGGGGAACACTTGCCTGCCCAGGCCTCTCACTTGCCCTCTGTCTTCCTTGCTTTGGGTCCGCAGCCCTCAGACATCTCTGGCTCTGCCGCTGAGATGATTTCAGTCTGTTTAGGCACCTCCATACACAGCTGGTTTTAAGGGGGTCCTACTTGGGTGGTGTGTTAGTTTTTAAGGACTGCATAGTAAGTGGCTCAAACAGAAACTTGGTTTCTCGCAGTTCTGGAGGCTCAAAGCCGAAGATCTGGGCTGGCAGGGCAGGTTTTCTCTGGGGCCTCTATCCTGGCCTGGATGCCCCTCCTTGTCCTCCCTCATCTCCTTTCTATGATGTCTGTGCCTGGCAGACCTGTCCCAGCTTCCTCATTTTGCTTTAATTGCCCTGTCTCCAAATTCAGTCACATTCTGAGGTGCTGGTGCTTAGGGCTCCAATGTATGAGTTTTAGGGGATACAGTACAGCCCCGTAGGGTAGTAAATGTTTGCCAGTCTTTTCTGCCCTCCCGCCATTAGGATTGATGATGGATCTGCGGTCCTGAATGCATGCCTGATGGCGGGCACCTGGAGTAGGGTGTGGGCATAGGTAGATGGGATTCACCTGGGCAGCAAAGGTGTGTGGAGGCCGAGAGGCTGGGGTGGGCACTTGGGGGGGCCTTGGGATTCCTCTGGGTCCTGTTGGTGTCAGAGTGACCGTTTCAGGCAGTTACGGAACAGGTGGAGGACAGGGTATAATGGTGGCAGTGGAGAGGGCACTGGGGCCTTTGAGGAGGTGGGAAAGCAGTGTCCGTGATCAATAATTTATTCCTAGATACCACGCAGGAGGGCGTCGTCATGGTAACAGTTGCCTCTCAGAACTGCCTCTCCTGCTCTGCTCTCGCCCCCTCCTCCCTCCGCCCCTCATTTTTCTTGTGTGTCTCAGGAGTCTCCCTGTGGCGTGGAGCCTGTCTGTGCCTGGGACGACACCGCTCTGCCTGCTCAGTGTGGGGACTCTGGGGGGGTAACAGCTGCAGCAGCTCCGTCCCTGCCCCCATGTGCACATGACCAGGACTTTAATTGACTCCTTTCTCTGGAAAGACCCTCCAGGGCCACCTCACTGGCTTTCCCACACCAGGCCTTTGCCTGAGCTCAGGCTCTCAGCTCTGCTTTCCCTCACAGTCTGTCTGCACCCTTCCCTTCCCCAAGCAGATTCCTTCTTTGACTGCAGCCACACTGGGTGCCTGTCTGAGAGAAGGCCCCTCCAGCAGGGTGACAGGGCGGGGCCACCCCTGTCTTAACCCAGGGTGAATCATCCCTGCCCCTGCCCTTCATTCCTGCCTCCTGGCCTCAGTGGACTGGAAGACCAGTCTGTGCTCGGCACTATCTATAAACTCCAGTGTGCCACACAGTAGGTACCCAGAAAATGTTTGTGCCATGTTGTGGGGTGAATGAAGGGAGGCCTTGGACGATGACTGAGTCAGGAGCAGGCCCCTACATGGGTCTCTCTCCCAGTTTTTCCCATAGGCTGGGTTTTAGTTCAATAGCTGCACTGAGCCTCAGCCATTGAGGGTTTTAAAGTTATTTTTCATACACATTACAATTCACTGCTCCCCTGATTCACTGGCTGTCACAACTAATAAGGGATCTGGGTCTGTAATAACCATTTAAGACTTAATGTTATTAGTCTTGTAATTGCTGCTAAGGGTCTTGTCTGCTCTCTGAATTTATAAATCCTCACACACAAAGATTAGGGAAACATATCCCTGAGCTGGAGGCTGCCAAGGGGGCTGGGTGGCTGGAGACCAGCCTTAGCTGCCTGCCTGGTATGTGTTTCCTGATAAAACCTCAAGCAGGGGATGCAGAGATGCCTGGGGAGCATCTGTGAGCACCCTTGGGAACTGGGGAGGGGAGGGGAGGGTGCCCCGCAGAGCTGTGTGGCCCTAGCTGCCCTCAAGACAAGCGGCTGCTGGTGAGAGCTGCAGGCAGAGATTAGAGTTGGCAGGAAAACCAGCTGTATTGGAATTGTCCTCCTTTGGCTCTGTCCTAGGAAACATCCTTGCTTTTCTCTCTTCCACACGTGCTCTCTGGAGTGCTTGCTGACACATCAATCAAGGCCGCAGGGCCTTGGTGTGGTGAAGGCCAGCACGAGGAGGCGTGGCCATCGGCTGTGGGTCAAGGCCTGCGGCCGCCCTTTCTCCCTCTTTGGGAAACTGCATTACGTTGCTTCACTTTCACGAAAAGACCAACATGTTTTCACTAACTGAAGGAAATCCTAAGATGATTTTTGCTTTTACAACAAAAGGCAAAATGAAAGAAGTGATCAGCCATGGTTTTGTGGCAGCCATTCTAGGGGCAGGGGGCCCTGAAACAGTGCAGCCCCACAAGCGCCTTCCCAGGGCCTACTTTAGGCTATGACTTACCCTGTCATTCCTGCTTTTGTTACATGTAGGTGTTATTTTAGGTTTTGTGTGTTATTTGAAATAACTTGGTAGCTTAAGTTCTGGGAACTTTAAAAATGTTTTCCATGTAAATTGTTTTTATGCTTTATATCATTTTGACTTCTGAGAGGTTTCATAGGGATGCCCTGCCTTTAGACTGCAGGGGAGTCTGTAAGTAGAATCATATAACAGATGGCCCTTGGTTTGGCTTCTTTCACAAAAGAAGGTTTTCAAGGTTCATCCATGTTCAGCAAGAATTGTTATGGCTTTTTCATATTTCACTGTGTATATGCCATGCTTGGCTTTTCCTTTTGTCTGTTGAAGGCCATATGGCTTATTTCTTGTGAACATGAGTGGACAGGTTTTTCTTTGAATATCTACTTTCCATCCTTTTAATGTATATACCTGTGAGTGGGATTTCAGTGTGTAACTTACGGAGGAATTGTGAGACTTGGCTCACTTCCTTATACATGCCAGTCTCTGCTTTGGAGAAAGGGGCAGCCTGCCCCCTGTGCTCCTCCAGGCTGTGACATTTGGGAAGTTTCTAGTTCCTAGCCCCTGGGCAAGGCACAGTGATGTGTGTGTGGACACAAGGGAATTAGTGGTGACAGTGGAGCAAGTTTTTTTTTTTTTTTGCAAGTTTTTATTTTATATATTTTTTACATCATTCTTCATTTTTATGCAATGTATACTTTCCCATAATGGTTTCTAACAGTAGAACCAGGTCTTACCCACTCACACAGCTGTCCTGTCCTCCAACGCTGCACCCTTGGGGACTGCATATTTGCTCCTGTGATGGAACCCGATGGAACTGGTGCTCAGAATCTTGTTGGGCCTCTTCATAGATCTTTCCTTAATAATCACTCTTTGCTTTTGATCCTGACTGATATTCCCAACTGCATCACCTGCTATCTTTCCCATTCTTGGCCCTATCTTTCAACTTAAAAAGTAAAATCACATCTACTCTCATAGGATAAAAATTTGCTGCCAGGGGGCCCATCAAAAGGATATGCTACAGGCTTTGAAAGCAGTTCCGAAAGAAGCTTCAGCTGTGAGCTCAGCAGGGGCAGGCACATGGTTGGAATATGTACATAGCCTCCAGGGGACTCCTTTGAAGGAGACAACATTCATTTAAATATAAAATTGTGGTATATTCATTTAAAGAATCAATCAGAAAGGGTACAATAAAAAGACAATTGAATAGTTGTTAAATTTTATACACCTCCAGGAAATCCAAGAAAAAATATATATTTTAGAAGTTTTAGGGAGATGAGATCCAAGATATAACCTGGGAGTATGTGGGATACACAGAATTATATTGCCCATCTGCTGGAGACAAGAGGGTTAGCGGGGATCCTGACACTTTGAACAAGCATCCCCATCATCATCGGGAGAGTGGGACAGGTAGGTTACTCTAGCTGTCATTCTGATCTGCCCAGAACATTCATTTTGCTTGTTCTTTCTTTGGGGACAATGTGAAGAAAAGGGACACTGGTTAGACATACAGGTGAACTGGTGCCTTGGTAAGTTGTTTTCAAAATTTGAAATATGGGCCTCCCTGGTGGCTCAGGGATTAAAGTCTCAGCACTGTCAAGCTATCAC